ACATTATACAGCATAATGTTTCTTTGTTTCAAAATGTAATGTTCATTTCCTAGTCTAAATTAGATTGCAGGTCCAAGATTTTAAATTTAGACTTTTTTAAGTCCACTGTATAGTGAGCAAATATCTGTAAATTCACAGAATTATTGTTAATAGAAAACTTAAGTTGATGGTGTACATAATGATGTATCAGCTATACTGATTCTTTACACACTTTCTATTTTCTATAAAGATTTAAGTTTCAGCTTCTGATGGAAATATCACAGCACACACATCATCTGCTGTGCACCTGTGGCTCTCACATACACCTTCTTCTGTTGTGTGCACTGCTCGCGTCTGGCCCATTCAGGACGGTGTGGATGCCTCCGTGCCCAATTCCGTGGCATTGGGTCCAAGCCCAATGGAGAAGCAATGTTCTCCTTCTTGGCATTGCTCCACTGCTCTGGGGGTCTCCTGTCAGCCGTCGAGAGAGCTGAGTGTGTGCTCTCGCAGGCGTCCTTCAGATCATGCATGCGCTGCTCTGTTTAGATATCACATGCTGCTCAACTCAAGACTTTGGTCAGATCTGTGATAGTGGAGGTTCTAAATTTAAAACAGATCAAGAATATTCTTTTAAAAGAATCTAAATGTCATGCTGAGGCAAAACATTCTACAGGAGTTAAGTTACTGTTGCTCTTCCCATGGCTCCTACACTCTTAATAATAAAGCTTTTTTTTTTTTTGCTACTATGCCACAGAAGAACCACCCAAAGAACCTTTCAGTGAACAGTTCTTAAAAGAACAATTTCTTTTCGTAGTGTGAATAACATTTTACAAACTAAAGAACCTTTTGTGCATTGAAAGGTTCTATGGATGTTAATGGTTCCTCCAGAACCACAGATGCCAAAAAAGAACCTTTATTTTATAAGAGTTTACATCCAACCAGTGTGTGTTCAAGAGTGTGTTTGTCCCTCAGGCAGAGACTACTGGATCTCATACTGCTGCTGTTTTTTCCTGTATTTACGCTCTCTGTAAATCTGTTTTGTATCTCATTGTGGTTTTGTGTTGAGTCAGATACATTTCACAGCAAATAGTGTGCGTTGGCTGTTTCGTCATCGATAATAATGCAGAAAAACGGCATCGAGATGCCAAGCAGGGAATTTGACGAGGGTATGAGGTGATAAAGATGCAACTGATTTTCACATACGAAAATGGCTGTTTGTCAAGCTCCTTAACCACTGTTCCCAAATGTGCACCTGCGATGCACCGACACGCGAGGCGACTCATGCCTGAGAGCGTATTTTGAGGCTGTTTTGCGGCTTTTGTGAGCGCTAGATTGTCTGCTGAGACATACCTGTATGGTGCATGTGCACCTCTCCAACATCCGTCCAGCGTGCAGAGAAGTAGACCGGAAACACAGATACCACTGCAAGACTGCGACTGTACTACCTGCCACACACACAAACACACACACACACACACACACACACACACACACCGCTGATCTTACTGTGCAGCTCACAGGTGTTAGTCTATGCTGTGTGAACTGTGAATTTTGCACAGAATCAGACGCTTCAGACCATTTTGACTCTTGTAACTTGTGCTAATACTAGAGATATTTCATTTTCATTAACAGATTCTATCCAGCTCTATTTGGACACGCTCAGCTCGCAGTGATTTGTGGGGATAGCTGCAAATGTGTGGAAAATTTCAGTTCATGAAGTAATTTAAAATAACTCATTTGTCGACTAGAGTCTACAGTATATGCAATACCCCAACAAGCAAGTTAATCATGTCTGGACCAGTTTGATAGCCAGACTGAAAAACTGATTTGCAGCTCACGATAACTGAAGAACAAAAATCACACCAACAGCAATTTGTCATTTAGAAACTTGACAGATACTTTAATTAGTTAAACCAACTATTTTAAATTCAAACTAGTCAAGGCAAGGCGTATGTATTTATGTTGTTGCATATTTTATGCAAAATGTTCATTTAAAATGCTTTACATAATAAAGGGAAATAGCTGTAAAGAGAGATGTAGAAGATATATAAAAGTCTAGTTTAAAAAACATTTGAAAATTTAAATTGTCATTATTTAGCCACTCTTAGGTCATTCCAAACTTGGATGCTTTTTTTTTTTCTTTTAAAGAGAAGTTTTGAAAAATCTTCATGCAGGTATTTTCCATACAAAGCCAGTTCACTGTGATGATGCAGTCAACCTCCATAAATGATTAAATATGCAACATAAAAGTAATCAAACTGACTCATGTTCGGTCTCTTGAATTCCTGTAATAGCTTTTTGTGACAGACTACACTTTAAGTCAAAATTCACTGAAATTTGTCCTTTGCATCAATCATTATATGATTTGAAGACCGATGAAGTGGAGAAAATTTCAATGAATAAGTAACTTAAATTCCCCATACAAATCTCTGATATGATTTCTGAAGACTTGCAATATAGTGCTTGATATGCACATAATACTTTGTGTTTTGTTTTTTTTAGTTAAAAATGATCAAATTTATTTTATCTACTGTGTTTATGTTTAAGATTGTTAAAAAACAGCACAAATGACAGGGATAAATAAATAATCATGGAATATTCTTTAAAAAAAAAAGTAGATAAAGAAAAGAAAAAGAAACAAAGAACAATCAAAAGCTAATTCAAATATGTATTACAATAAATGTTAAAAAAGGAAAAGTATTATTGAACCTGAAATAAAATAATGCAGCTCAGTCAGTAAAAACCGAAGTAAAATCAGCTACATTTTCACACAGTAGTTAATTTGAGAACGCAAGCAAATGTTTTCAGTCTGGAAATCAAATAATGTTCACTGTACTTGGCAAACATGAAATGTTGCTCACAATTTTGTAGCTAGAAGCAAATTTTGCAAATCACACAAACATTAGTGAATAGTCATATATATACATATATATTTATATAATTTATGCATTTAGCAGACGCTTTTATCCAAAGCGACTTACAGTGCATTCAGGATATACATTTTTTACCAGTATTGTATATATAGTATATATATATATACTGTATATACATATATATATAGTATATAGTATGTATATATATATACTGTATATGGGATTAATACTTGACAAAAAAATTAAATCCTGTAAGATTTAGATGAGCAAAACATTGACTTAGACCCTTATAGTGTTTTATCAATGATAAATACAATGGATTAGAAAATATAACAATTAAATAGCCAATGAAAACAATATTGAAATTTATACGAAACACACTGGCAGGCTTTTATCTCAGTTATTTGCAACTCTCTGTGGCAGATTGATCTGTTACAGCTCACAATTGATTATTGTAAGCCATTTATTATTATGAACCATAATGAGTTTTAAATAGAGTCATGCATTAATTGCTCATTTTTCCTCTTCTTTCACTGCTCAGCTGCAGCAGATCATGACGCATCAGAGGGTTCCACAGCCAGCCCTGTGGCCGGAGCCGGAGAGAGTGACCTGCTGACCTGCGGTCAATGTCAAACCAACTTCCCCCTGGGAGATATTCTAGTGTTTATCGAGCACAAAAGGAGACTGTGCCCCGGACCCAGCGCCTGTTTCGACAAACCAACTGACAGCGGCGGCTCCCCGTCCCCCAGACCCCCACGGCCGGAAGTCTGCCGTAGGTCTGGACCGGTGGAGGTTGGGATCCAGGTCACACCAGCAGAGGAGGAGGAAAAACGAGTGACGCCCGCCAGAGGAATCTGCCCCAAGAAGGAGGGCGTCCCAACAGGTAGGTGTTTTACACTGAGGGCTGGAGGAGGGGAAGGTTTATTAGTCTCTGAAGCTTGGCAGGAAAGAGAAACCTATGAAGTGACAAACACCTACACACACACACAAAGATTTTTACTTATACTGGAAATAGGTGCACTCTTCAAGAACCAACAAAGTAGTCTTTTCTTGTCAAGAACCTTTTTACGGTTCTTCGGCTATATGCTCTGTTGAAGGTTTTACAGTAGATAGTAACTACAAATTAAAACTTGAGCAACATTTTTTAAATGGTTACTGAATAAAATACTTATAAATTAAATAATTTCTTTCTTTCTTTCTTTCTTTCTTTCTTTCTTTCTTTCAAATCTTGCTTAACTCAAACAACCTTTGTAGTGTATCACAGTTTTCCACAAATCAGCACATTAGTAAGATTTCTGAAGGATCATGTGACACTGAAGACTGGAGTAATGATGCTAAAAATTCAGCTTTACATCACAGGAATAAATTACATTTTAAAATATATTAAAATAGAAAAGTGTTATTTTAATTGTAATAATATTTCACAATATTACTGTTTTTACTGCATTTTTGATGAAATAAATGCAGCCTCTTGTGAGCACAAGAGACCTTAAAAAACAACAACAACAACAACTTTATTCCAAACTTTTGACAGGTAGTGTACAGTATATAATTAAAACCAATTTTATAAAAAAAAAAAAAAAATGCCATCATTCCACTGGAATATATAGTTCATGATATGTGGTCTCTATAGGTGCTGTGCAGTGATATACACAGTATATTGGTGAACAGGATTTTGCCTTATAGCTTTTCCTCTATTACATATTTTAGCAAGGCTGGAACACTGACCAATTACAACCCAGGACCAGAGCTGTTTGTTTAATAAAGATTCTTTTAAAATTGGATTCTAAATAAAACCTTACTTTTTAAAGGAATATTTTACCCCAAATGAGTATTTTGTCTAGTTTTGTTTACTAATCATATCGTTTCAACCCCCACATTATTTTCTTTCTTCTGTGAAACAAAAAGAGATCCAGTAGGCAGAAGGTCTGAGCTTCTGTTTGCATCAGTGATATCAAAGCTGCCTCTTTTGAATTGAACACAATTATTAATCATATTTGTGAGTTTCAGTAAATACCAAAACAATCAGTGCATTTTGATTTGTTAATCACACAAAGCTATCGTACGTCTTGCCGTTAAGATGTTGCATTTGGGTACTTTTATGCTGCTTTTTAGGCCTTTTTGGAGCTTAGCTAGTATAAATCACCATCCAGCTCAGAAAATCAGCCTTGCTTTTCCTTTTGGAAAAATAATCATAACAATAATATGGGGCTGGGATGACATGAGGGTACGTTAATGATGACAAAATGTTATTTTTGGGGTGAACTGTTCATTTAAGAGTGTAGTTTTATATGCACCGTTTATCTTTATTACAACACAAACACACACATACTGTTCAGTAGTTCTGACTGGATCGCTTCTCTCAAAAGGTCCTCTTCTTCTGACTCGGGCCTTCAAGAGGGATTAACACCCCTTGCATGATTTTATTAGAGCAAGACGGCAGCATCTCTCTCTCTCTTTCTCTCATCTCTAAGTGAAACATAACAGCCCTGAGTGCGCCAGCAGCTGAAACCAATTCTCTAAGAGGAAAAAACTCCAGAAATCCTCATACGACGTGTTTGGTAGAAATATCATCGTATTAAGAAAAAAAGGCTAAGAAAGCCCATTAAAATTCAAGTGCTAAGAGACATAGTGTGGGGATTAATGAAGAAGATTCCTCATTCAGAGGGTTAAAGACTCAGTTTAGTGTGCGGGGCCTGGAGGGGCCACATGTTATCTTCCAGCACAGTGCCGCCCACCCTCCTCTCAGCACACACAGCCTTGGACAAGGAAATGCTTCACTTGCTAGTCAGGATATGACAAATCGAGACAAATCAAGCACACGCACACGTTTGCTGCCCTACGCTAGTCAGCAGGCTTCAGCCTTGTCAATACCTTTTTCTAAACTAAATTATACAAGGTTATTAGTTTTCTATATTTGTTTGAATATGCCTTTTCAAAGCTGTTAATCTTGAGGGGGAGGGGTTGTATTATCTGAACTTTTTACTGAACAACTTTGGCTTTAGTTTTGCTTCGTTGACAGAAGTGGAGAAGCCGTCAAGGTTATCCACAGAAATGCAGGGCAGGAAGGTGCTTTAAGCTTGAATTAAATATTTCCAGCGCATGAACGCTTTACTCAACACAGTAGATTGCCACTTAACTGTCTTAAGTTTCAGTCAAATTAGATTATATTTAATGGGCCTAATTAAATACAATATGGAGCTATGGCTGCCTAGAGGCAAAAGCCATGCATGCTGTGGGCCAAAACACCAAGCCTGATGGGTGTGCGTTAAACCCTTCACATCTCAATGGAAATGTTTTAATCCATGCTAGAATGGCTCTTCTGTTCAGAAGTAATTTTAAGATAGTATATGTTTATTTAGATTTGGTTAAGAAATAGTTGACACAAAAAAAGGCCATTTTGGAAATGTTGTTGTCATTTACTTGCCGCATTGCAAAAGCGGTCACATGTTGAAAAATCTCGAATTGAATTTACGTTAGGGGGAATCTTTAGGCACTTGCGGGGTCTGATATGATTCAGATTCTGGGAATCATGATTTGATATTTTTATTATTACCTAATGAGTTTACCAACTTTGAAGATCACATTGATTTGTGCATTTTTATTAAATTAAAGTAACACTTTAGTATAGGGACCAATTCTCACTATTAACTTGTTGTTAATTAGCATGCCTATTAATAACATATTAGCAGTTCATTAGTGCTTATAAAGCACATATTCTGCATGACCATATTCTACATCCCTAATCTTACCCAATACCTAAACTTAACAACTACCTCACTAACTATTAATGAGCAGCAACTTAGGAGTTTATTGAGGCAAAAGTCATGGTTTGCAAATGGCGAGAATTGGACCTTAAAATAAAGTGTGACCTAAATTACTTCTAAAATAAATAAATAAATACTTGCAATCAAAAATTAAAATCAAAAATTGTATATTAAGAATTATTAATTAATTAAATTAACTTAATACATTTTTAATTAACTAAATATTGCTTCAAAATGTTCGCACGTACATTACTGATTGCAGAAGTTTGAATATACCTATATGCAAATAGGATTTTCAGTAAATTTCCATTTTTGTCTGTTCTTCACACAAAATTATTATTTTTAACCCTCTGATGCTCTGTAGTGTTTGATTACAGCAGTCACGGGACGGGCTGATACACACACACACACACACACACACACACACACACACACTCCAATTAAAAAACACTCATTTACATAAATACTAATAAACTGATTGATGCACAGGCAGAGACAAAGACATTTCACTCTAAAATCAAAAAGAAAAATTAAGAAAGTATATTCACTTTTGACCGAATCATTTTCAGTTTTGAATTTTTTTTTAAAAATCACAGCTTCTTCAGAATGGTACAAAACTTGGTGATTTTTATGGCATTTGGAATGTGAAAAAACACAAAAAAAAATGGAGGGCATGATTTGAGCAGGCCAAGTAGTCGTAAAAAAATAGTCACACTTGTGATCTTCGGTCAAAAATGACCGACCATAGGAAATTAATGGGAAATCAACAAAAACACAAAAATTCAGAGAATTTTTGTGTGTTCAATCTACAAATATACACAGCAATAACGGGGTGAAACTCGAAAACATCAAGAGTGCAAAATCAACACACCAACTCACACACGCAAGCGTACACACACTTGTACACACACACCTATGAACTGGTGTGACTGTAACACTGCAACTAGGTAAAATAAAATCAATAATTCAACTACTATGCAGTAAAAAAGTGGACAGCAATGACGGAGTGAAACTCTAAAACATCAAGAGTGCAAAATCAACACATCCACTCACACACACTTATTTACACACACTCACAGACACACACATACAGAATTATACATACTCAAATGAATTGGTATGGCTATAACCATATAGCCAAAACGAGTCAGAAAACTGAAATAAGAGGTTGCAATCAGAGCAGACCCAGAAGGATTAAGCTCTGATAAAACATTCCTGTTCATTTTTGTTACATTTTTATAGAATTTTAATGTTTTGTGTAACAAAATGCTTTATCTGTGTTCAGATTTGACTGTAGTAATAATAATAAAAAAACTGATTCTTCAAATCAACATTAAAAAAAAAAATAAATAAAAATCTAAACCATTACAAAAAGTTGTCTTTGAGAATGTCTTAACATATATCCAAACCCACAACTTAATACAAATAAATATTTATGTCTAAAAACAATTAGAGAATTTATAGGCCTTTTATATAGAGCTATATAGGAATCTAGTGGCTAAACCATAGAATTGCAAAAGTTTTTCTTATTTTACTCCCACCAGATGGCACTAATTTGGCTTAAAAAAATTGGATTCTAAAGGCATTGACTCTATTTTAACATGACATACTTCATTAATTGAAAAGTAATATCGTTTTTTTAAATTGTATTATTTTCAATGGGAAGAAATTGATCATAACTATTGCATAAATATTAATTAGTACCATGAAAACAGTCCTGTATCTCAAAATACAAAATCAAAAATCAAAAATATTATTCAACAAAAATATGTTACATTGATTTTACTGAGGGGGGGGGATGTAAAATTTTAGGTGTCCGGTCACTTTTGACAGTGAAGACCACAAGTGTGACTCCCAAATAAGGAGCACCAGAGGGTTAAAAGACTTATTTATCTTTTAATTCTTGGAGCAACAACCTAAATTCACTTTCATTATATGGAAAAGAGCAGCATGAACATTCTGCTAAACTTCTCCTTTTGTGTTCTACGGAAGAAAAATAACGGAGCAAAGCACCAAAATAGGGCTACATGTACTTACTATAGGGTTAAGGTTCGGGTTAGGTTTAGTTGCTTGTAATTATGCATAGTTTACTGTTATAGTACATGTACGTGTAACTACATCACATATTTATGCTTATGCCACAAATCTGTCTTTAAGTTCTCCTTCTCTTTGTTCATCTAATATCGAAGATTGAGACATTTGAAGTGTTTAAATCTAGCTACCGTACTAACTACTTCTCATGCCAGATTTATTTTTGGTTTGATTCAATGCACCTAATACTTCTCTGAAAGGAAAAAAAACAAAAACAATATGGGATTTATATGTCTACTGTGTTGAATAATTAACAGCACATCAATTTGTACCATATTCAAGGAAAGTGCCCATTACCTGCAGTTTCTGATAGAATATCCCATCAAGGGAATACCAGCATCATTCTTGCTATTTTCAAATCTTATCCCTCATATGTGAAACTGCCCTTAGTTTCTAATCAATCTCTGAACTGTCTAGCTAATCATACTCCATGAACGCGGGAGAAAGTGTACCGCATCATGCGCTTGTCCTTTCCAACGCTCCTCTAATCACCTAGCATGCGCTCATTTAAATATTAGAGTAGGCTTTAATCATGGAACGTAATCAGTGTCATGAATATTCATACTGTGCCGGTCTAACAGTCTCATTGTCTCACTCCTGTGCCAAATCGTGTCTTCCTGCCTCTCAGCTGTCTGCTCTGATGGCCCCAGTCTGGTATCAATGGAAAGAAGTTTAAAATAAATACACTATTCATACATGATCCTAAGAGAACAGTGTGTGTGTGTGTGTTGTGAGAGAGTTTCTAAAGATGGCGAGACTGATCCCTGTTCTAAGAGATGAATGTTTGCACAGCGGCTCAAGAAGATGCCATTTGCATAATGACTTTGTAGTTTTGCATTAATTAAATTTGCATATGAAACTGCGTTAATTACCTCTGATCATCTGTTTTCAACGTTGCAGCATTTGATGTCCAGCCTTCGGGGTTGTGATTAGGGGTTACAGTGGCTGTTTCAGACTGTGTGTGTGTGTCAGGGACTGAAGCAGAATAGAAAGTGAATTTGATGAGTCAGTTTCACAGTCCTTTTTCCTCTTTTTTGTGTCCAAACTCTTGCTAATATCCTGGCATATGAAACAGCTCTTCTGAGTTTTGCAGTTAAAAGAGAAGAAATGTTTTTGAAGTTCAGAGAATTTTTGTTAATACACAGTGTCTTTAGCAAGTTCAAGGATCAGCCTCTGAATTTTCATGAAGGTACTGTCTTAAGCACTCTTTTTGTAAATGCACAGACATTTTTAGATTCAAAAATATCAGGAGCTCTTTGTCTCAGAACATCTTTATGCAAAATCAACCACAGATCCAGCAGTGAAGAGAAGCACTTTTTTCCACACGTTTACACCATTAAGGAAATTATGTTTATCCTTGAGCATAAGATCTTCACATAAACCTCCAAACTGTTTTAGTATTAAAATTAGTTTTACATCAGTGGTTCTCAAATGGCTTCAGAACCCATATTATATGTTGGACACAATTGTTTATTAGACAGATGATTAAAATAAACAATGAAATAAACCTTAAAATCAAACATTTTCAGACACAACAATATGAAAGACCTCAAGTTATTAAAATGACGTAGGAAAACTGACAGCTTTATAAATGCATAAGCAAACTGCAAAATAGTGATTTACAGTCGTTATAGTTTGGCCGTTTGTTTTATAAATGTAAATTGAATTTTGATGGTTTCATGCTCTCGGCAGCCAATAATTCACTGCTAAAAACACATTGTGGTCACACACACCATGTTTATCCTCTTTACGAATGAACAAGAGTATTTAATGTCGTCTGTGTCATATTTTCTTTTGCATGGTTTTGTTCATGGTTTTCAAGAGTAAGAGCGAGCATGTCACACAGCCTGTCTTTTTGTTTGTGCGTATTTCTGGACACACATGCTTTGTCGTCTTTGTCATTTCTCCCTTTTTTAAAGTTGAAAAGTCAGTTTTTATGCATTGTTTTTATGCAGCTTTGCATCGGTAAATAGTTGCATTTTATTATTTGCATGTAGCTTTATTTTCACCCTACTGCCTGCAATCTTATCCGAATAGATCTGCTACCCATTTTTGGTGTTACCACACACCAGTTGAAAACACTGTTATAGATTAAGATCAGTTCATTTTCAATGCAGCAAATTCAACAGCAATAAATTCTCGACTATGCTAATGCTAATTAATTTTCAAGGAAAGATCTTTTAATTCTACAAACAAATAGTGGCATATATGTAAATACCATAGCATATAATTTGTAATCAGTCAGTACCATGGTATGTATGAAGTACAGTACTTTTTGTAAATGTTGACTTGAAATCCCAATTAAAACCATATTGAACTAGATCTCTCTGTAGTGTTTGATGGACAGTCTTCTGTACACATTTCAGTCTCTCTGACCTCTAACAGTAAAATGCAAAGCAATGATGCCCAGCTCTTCACAGAAACCATACCCATGATCCCTTGCGACACCCAAGCTATGCCAGCATCTCTGTTGCAGGGTGCCTGTGGTTAAGGCCTCTGGGATTTCGGGGCTGCTTATTTTTGGGATCCGTCCAAACGAGACCACCCCATCGCCGTCTGATTGGTGCTGTCTGCCGGCAGGGGTCAACCTGGTCCATGCTGGATGCATTATAGAGCAGGACAGCGCTGCATGTGCGCTCCACGCTGAGCCCTGGTGGAAAGAGTTAAAGTCTCCCACATGAAGGCATCAAACGCTCCACATACCACTTTATTGTAGTCATATGGCAGCAGATTTGATATTTTTCCTTCCACAGCGGGGAATAAAACTCGCCACTAATTTGGACTGTGAGCGTCGCCACTAAATTTCAGCATGTGCTGATGGTGTTGACCAGATGTGTAACGCTTTTTTTCCCCTCTCCGTCTCACTATCGCTCTTTTGTCAAATTAGCCATGACTGAATTCAAGTAAAATACTTCAGAAGAAATAGCAAGGATGGTGAGATGACATGACAGTGGCTCATGAACGTTGGGTGTAATCTGCACTGCTACCGATGGAAAACTGCAGCTCTATGTTAAAACCTACCCTTCGGAAAAAGCCATCTTTAATAAGTCTAAGCTGGTTTGCTGGGCTTTGCTGGTTGAAGCTGGCCTATAGGGATGCATGATGTGTCGTGATAAGATCAATATTGCGATATGTCTTAGTGCAGTTATTAAATGTGTTCATGATCCAGTGTGTGCAGCTCACAGTAAATGAACCAAGCCTCTCTGAGATGCTGAAATACCATATAATGAGCTGAATGTGTAAATGAACACAGTGCCGCGCTTCACTCTGAAACCCGTAGTGCATATATACAAATAAACAAAATTAAGACATAAATAGTGATATTGTAAAGTTATAATTATTTTTTATTAAATACTCTCTTTTTAATTTTGCACAACAATAGTAATTGTTACAATATATTTTTTGTTTCTTTAACATTTTAATTATAATCAATCAACAACAACAATTATTATAATTATTATTATTATACAAAAATGTAATAATAATAATAATAATAATAATCTTAATAATAATTATGATTACTGAAATAGGTTTCAGTTGATTTCTCCCAAATCGTTCAATCCTAAAAGAATGGCTATCACAAAAAGTATGAGTAATTAATTATTTAATAATAATGAAATAATTGATTAATTACTTTTAGGTTTGATGCAGAAATCACCCCAATCATTCTAGAATAATTAATTATTTCCAAATATAGCTAGTAAAAATTCGTCTTTTTCTTCATATGGCAACATGCAATGCAGAAATACAAAAATATAACAATTTTTATTTATTTATTTATTTATTTGTTCGTTTGTTTGTTTGTTCGCGCGCTCGTTCGTTCGTTCGTTCGTTCATTCATTCTTCATTCATTCATGCATTCGTTCATTCGTTCATTCGTTCATTCATTCATTCATTCATTCAAGTAGCTAGTTAGTGCCCAAAACGTTCAACCTTCTAAAATCCCCTTAAAACCAGACTGGAAGACTCATCTCAATCCTCATAAATAAATTCAAATTAAAATCTTAGGCTGGTCTAAACTGTTTTTTTTCCCCAATAGTTTTTAAGGATTTATTAGGTTGCTCAGGTGATCTCTATTAGTTTTTGCAGTCTTGATCAAAAAATCTAAACAAATGTCTTTTTTTTTTCTTTTCCCCCACCATTCTTATCCTCTTGACATTAGGATGGCTTTAGCAGTAAGACATTACGATTGGCACTGCAGGGTGAGAAAGTGTTTGCGTGGAGAGTTATTTGCCAAACTCTGACTATAGTGTCACAATCAGGCAGCCAAGCCACACATATGCTGATGCCCAAAGGAGAAGGCTCTTCTGGCAGCTGTCTCAGGCAGACAGTAAAGGATTTTGGGTTACGACTCTCTCAAACCTGCAACATGTGCAGTCTATCTGTACTTTAATGTCGTCTTCTACGTGGCGCATGGTTTACCGACAACAAACATTTTACGTGTTGAGTTTAGAAAAGCTCAGGGTCTGTGAACATTTGAAAGGATGTTAATAAAAACAGTGTCATTATCAAGACGGGATCTTGTAGACTGCATTGAATTATACTGCAGTAAACAGCAGTGTTTTCGACCATTGCTGTGGTTTAGTGTCAGAGTTTGCTGGCAAATTTCTGTCATTGTGTGTGGAGTCCTGCTGGGTGGCACCATAAAAGTAAAGTAGTTCTAATACAACTTGACTTTTTTTCTCAGTCCGTCTGTATTTTTAAAGTATAGTAATGGTGGGAAGTCACTGAGAATGAATTGGAGCCACTGATAACATTGTTTATTTGCACATGCTGTCTGTGTTTTTTCAGCACTTAATACACTAACGGAATAATGCACATCAAGTAATGCTTGAAAATGGTTCCAAAAAATTGCTTGCACATTGCGATTCATCTCGCAGGCCAGTTTGCAGCAGACTACTGATTTTTGGCATACTTTATTGGCACTATACAAAGCCACAGTGTTGAATTTGCCCTCGGGTCTCTGATGTGTCCTGATGAGTTTAAACTTGTGTGCTTTCCATGAAAGTTCCCTTTATTGTTGTTTGATTCTCTTACTGATTATTTTTGCACCATAAAAACAAGAAAAAAAAATATTCATGGCTATCCATATGGATTTTTACAGTATATTATGTCGGTTTACAACGTGGGAATTCAGTAAGAACAAATTGTGGCCACTGATAACATTGTTTATTTAATTTTAGATTAATCTGTCTGTGTTTTCAGCATTTAATGCACTAAAGTAATAATGCATTTTAAATCAAATAATGCTGCAAACACAATGCAGTTTGCATGTTGCAATTCGTAATCTTGCTTGTCATTTTGCAGCAGACTACTGCATTCTGCCATACTTTACTGCCACTATATAGAGCTGAATACATTAAAATTAACCATTTGTTTTTTTCTTAGTGTGCGATCACACTCGAATTTCAAGCATTTTTTTTTATTAGCCATCTTTTTTGGTCTGTTCCCATCTCAAAAATCAGCAACGAGTACTTGAACATGAGTATAGTACTCCAAAATAAGGGGAGGGGGCTGCTCTGTCATGTTGATAGCGGTTGACGACATTACAGTCTGAAGATTTGTAGGGTGAGAACCGCCATGATAATTCAGCATTAAACCCTCCTTGGCAGCCCACTGAATGAATAAACCCTCAATCTTATCAGTTTTTATTCATGCCAGTGAGGGCTTGTTCTTGCATGTAGTGTGCGGCAGATGTAGCCCTCCCGGTATGTTTGCTAAAGGCATTGGCTAGATGAAAGACTGTTCTTAACCATAAGCTATGCGGGGAGCTGTGCCAAAAGCTGAAAATGCATTATTGTGAAAACAGCCCTGTGAGAAGCTGATCTCCCCCAGCAGAGGATGAAGAGGGCTTCAGCGGAGGGCTGAGGGCGAGATGACACACGATGGAGAAATCGGCTCTCTCTCTTTTAACTTAGAATTTTGTTCTCATAAATATGACTGGCATGGAGTAGTTAACCGTCATTGTTGTCAATCAGTTTGTAGATATGAAACTTCTCTTCTTAATCTGCATACTTGTACACAGTACAAGTACATGGACAGTGCATTGTTTTGAGTATGTAGTAAAAAAAATAAAATAAAAATAAATTAGAAATCAAAACTATGCTAAAAAAATGCTACCTACAGGTAAATTTTTGTGTCAAAACATTATAATGCACAGTATGAAAGATGTAAAAGAACAAAGGTCTACTGTTTGAATAATATATATATATATATATATCGGCTCTCTCTCTTTTAACTTAGAATTTTGTTCTCATAAATATGACTGGCATGGAGTAGTTAACCGTCATGTTGTCAATCAGTTTATAACTGTAGATACAAAACTTCTCTTCAATATATATATATATATATATATATATATATATATATATTTGTTATAATAGTAGAGGAGGGACTTGCTGGTTAGAGCTGGTTGAAAAAGTCCAAGAATAGAGCTCAAAGACTTATAACTATGGATTTTAATGATAAGTTGGGTATTAGACAAGTTTGTGTGTGTGGTCTGAAACAGAGTTGGATAAACATGCGGTATTAAGTATAAATAACAATTATAATTCACATACTACAACTCTGAACATTTGCCCTGAGATAAACAGAGAAAGTATTTCATTCTCAATGTGAAAATTAGAACTTAGTGCATTATAAATTCATTCTTTTAGTGTAGATGCACATTATTACAAAAAAGTATAAAGTTTAACATACTGTTTAAAAAACAGTATATATTATAGTATTCTATTGTGAAAATTAGAACTTATATGTATTACTAAAATTAATATGTATTAAAATATGTATAATAAAAAATGATATTCTTTCTCTTTTAGCTTAGTCCCTCCCTTTTCTAGCTTGTACTATTCTAAACAATGTCTGAAACTTGTATTACCAGCACTTGTGTTATTTGCCTCTTTGTGATGAATCACTTGTTGTATTCCTCATTTGTAAATTAAATGTGAATGTAAAATAAATGTAAATCTATTATAATGTTATTAAGTGTAGATGTACGTGAAATGCAAAACAAGTATAATTAAAATGAGACAAAGAAACAAATTAACACCATCGTTAAAGAGACAGTGCTGTTTAAGAAGTAGTGCTTCTAAAATAGGTACATTTTGGGATAATCTAGTGCTTTTCCTATAAAGTTGTTGCTAGATTATTGAATTACATACAGTATGCTAGGTTTTTTACAACAGAGCACACTGTACTCAATAATCTATCCCACAATGCAATGCACTTGACCTTCCATTTCCAGTGTGGCAAATGACCCAGAAATAATATAAGACACAATTTTTTCATCTTTTTTTTTTTTTGACTTGATATTTAATTGGACTGCCAAATGCAGCATTAAAATGCTAGATATCAGTTTTTTAGTTCCAAGAGGACGAGTAGACATTGCAATGCAACGACTAAGTATTGTACTTCTAATGTAGCATACAAATGTTTGAAACATTTATTGTTTTTATATAATGCATTCTGTTTAATATACATTCTGAACACAGCATTAATCTAAAAATGCAGATACAAGAGTCCACAATCAAATATCCAATATAAACCAACTAAATATCAAATAATGGCTTATATTAATGAATTAAAATAGTATTAGGACAAAGTATCACATCGTGAAACATCATCCAAGCACATTTTTAGGCATCAGACTTTGATTTGACACATGCTAATTCTAATCTTGCTTACTATTTACAGTAGAATGCATAGTATGCAACCTAAGCTTTCATCTTGGACTACATGCTTTTGATTTGACATCTGAGTTTACGGTCACCTGTATGTGTGCCAAGGATTATGGGTACTCAGTGATCATCGCACCAGTCAGAGCGCTGCAGCTTTGGTCCTGCTGAGCGCAACAGAAGTGGAACCCATTCACATGACTGGCATGTGTCGCAGATCCAGCGCACATAAGGCGTCTAAAGAGCTGTTTTACAGGGCCCTGATTGTTTTGGAAGGCGCGCTGAGGGCCTGGGGATTTTTACAGTGAGCTTTAAATGGGTATAGAAGCCTGGGCCCAGCTGGGGACCATTATAGTACACGTTATCCAAAAAATACCAAGGCAATTATTTCGCATACGGGATAGTTCTCCGTTCTTTTTTTTGCTTCCCTTGCTCACACACATGCAAGAAGCGAGGTCTAGCATGGTTCGGTTAGCCCCTGATGGTAGCACAACTACACCATTCTGCAGTCAAAACCATCTTTATCCATTGACAGCCAATCAGAATTAGCCATGCATTCTGGTGAAATGTAATGGCAGCAGCCAATCAGCACATTCAGGACACACTTTTTGTGTTTGTGTCTTATTTTCCAGTACAGTCACACTTTAGTTTGGGGTCCAATTCTCACTATATTAACTAACTATGAACTCCTTTTGATTAAACTCCTTATTACTGCTTATTAATAGTTATTAAGGTAGTTGTTTAGTTTAGGTATGGGGTAGAATTAAGAGATCTAAAATATGGTCATGCAGAATAAGACATTAATATGTGCTTTATAAGCACTAATAAACAGCCAGGCTAGTCATATGCATGTCTAATAAGCAACTAGTTAATAGTGAGAACTGGTAACTAAACTAAACTAAATTGTTACCTCCAGTACAAATATCTAAACATTTTTAAAATCAAAATACATTTACTTTGTTAGCAAAATTGCTTAAAATATAAAGTCTTGTTTTCTGAAAAATTGTTTAAAATTGAGTTTATGCTTAAAACAAGAAGAATACAAAATTTGCCAATGGGGTAATAAAAATAAACTTAAAGGGAAAACTTTTTTTTTTGCCCTCATTGGCAGACATTTATTTTTTCATTTTAATCATAAAGTCACACTTTTTCAGAAAACAAGACTTTGTCATTTTTATTCTAAAGCAACTGTATCGAAATTTAAATATGTTTAGGTATCTGTACCAGAAAATAAGACAAAAATGATGAGGCAGAAAATAATTTTTTTGCAGTGTAGTCAGATTTATTGCTTAG